ACTATATAGGGGCCCTAAAGTTTACATTGCAGAGAAAACCTAAAAGTTTATTTAAACAGAAGTTTCAGTACAATGTTTGTATTGATACAGTATTCCACTAATTATATTTGGGGGTGATATATATACCATATATAAAAAGTTTTAAACTTCATTTATTACCCTTAACCATCCAAGTTTAATAGTGAAAATAGAAATGAAGCTTATTGTTTGCTTTTCTCTCTTTACAGATTCTGATAACTTAAAAAATTAAATATACTTTAAAATTATCACTTGTAGTGTTCATAAAGTTAATACAATCCATGCGGGACTAAATATAATAGATGGGAGGGTAAAAAAACCACTTTAGGATCAAAGGTAACTTTTATGTATTTTCATTGTATTTACAAATTCATTGTAAAAAATCACCTTAGTTTCAGTATTTTGGTTTATTTCCCTTTCTACCAATTTTCACTATATATTGGTATTTTCAGAGTTTGGAAAATGTGCTGTTATAATAGTCTTATTTGAACAGTGTGCTTAACTACATTATCCATTTTCTAGAGCAAAATACCTTAGAATTAATTTAATTAACTTCATTTTTTTTTCAAAAAGCAAATAAAAGATTTACTAATTAAAAATATTGAATGTCAAGGCAAGTTATTTACAAGGCTTTTCTTTAATGCTGTAAGCTGTGTTGGGGGGATATATACTCAGTGAAATGTTAAGACTTGATAATAATCTTTGTAATTCATTCATGCTTGATTCATACTATTTTCTTAAAAAGTGGTTATTTATCTAAGAGTGAGAGTACTCCTCTTTTCAATGCAGGTAAGTACATTTTTAATTGCAAAGGCTGAATCAACTGACCTTGCCAGTGACCACAAATTTTTTGGAAACATCTACTCTGAAAGGTATACAGTATAACTTGAATTGGGAGAGAGAGTACATCTAGTTGTTTTAAGAGATCTGCCATTAGTAACTTGAAACAAAAATAATTAAATTTGTATGAAACAAAAAAGTAATTTGCAGGAGATTCATCCCAAACTTAAATGAGGGACTTTCCTGTCATTTTATGACTCGGGTACATCAGCAAACAATAAAATCTGTACAGCACTAATTTCATGGCTTATCATTTTAATTTTTAAAATCCTTCCTTGTATGTGATTATATGGAGGATGTATGACATTCTCTGCAGGACAAAATACTTTAACAAATCATTCCAAACCTGTATCTAGACTAGAACTTTTTATTTCTGATTACTTTACTCTAAGGCCAAAACTTGCCAAATTTGTGGAAGATATGTTTAGGTCAAGTTAAAAAAATTGAAGAAAAGGTTATAATGTTTTGGCCTTTAATTACTGTTAGATATAGCTTAATTGTGTTTCTAAAGATATTTCTTGCTTAACTGTCAGATGCTCAAATTTAATTCAGGAATTCTGCTCCATCTTTCCAAATTAATTTTACAATGTTTTTACAAAATCTAGAAAATTAAGAACCCAGAAAAAAAGGTATTTTATCATTTGTAGACTTGTTATTAAAAAATATTAAAGAAAGCCAGACATGATGGTATACATCTCTAATTCAGTAACTCTGGAGGGTTAAGGCAAGAGGATCCTGACCAGTCCAGGCAACTTAGCAAAACCCTGTTTCAAGAAAATAAAAACAACAAAACTGGGGATGTAGTGCAGTGCAGAAAGCCTTAGGTTCATTTGTCATTACTAGAAATAACAAAAACAAAACAAAAACATCCAAAATAAAACAATCAGATGACATTAACAGCATCTCATTTAGAGTATGAGAGAATGAGTTTTTCTAGGTCTTTCTATAAATGTAAGTCTTAGACTTGGGATGTTTCTTTTTATCAGAGAATATAACTTCTTAGTACTTTATGTGAAAATTTTTCTTCTATACATTTTTCCCACATTGAATGTTTTAAAAATTGAGCCTATTGAGCAATTTTTCTAAAGCTATTTTAAGCTTTCAAAACACATAAACTCAACACAACTTTTTAGAGACCTAACTTGTATTGCGAGTCTTTCCAGTTTCAATTTTTAAATACTAAACCATTGAATATTTTCTGATCCAAATATTAGGTTTATTACTTTTTGAGGATAGTAAAATTGAATTACATATGTTAAACTGATTGTGTACAATCACATAGCAAATTAAGAAAGCAAAATAGGTTCTAACGGGGTAATGCTATATACTATTTGTTAGCAAACTGCTTCACATTCTCATAAAATAGTTACCTAATTAAATAATGGAATTTTAATGGAATTTCTAAAACATCAACTAAGAAGAAAGGGTGATATCAGGTTTTGTTATATACTAAAAATATTTAATAGGTATCTAGGAAATAAACTCTACTTTTCTTACAATTGTTTTTAAAAGCAGTATTTCCCAAAATATTAATGTAATAGTAATCCTAAAAGTAAATGAGAAAAAAACTTATTTATCACTTGAGTATATTTTATTCAAAAGAGGTAAAAATCACTGTTTTATTTTCTTCTACCTGATTATGATATATAGTAACATAGGTTATTAAACATTTACTGTGCTTGAGAATTACTATGAATTTAAAAACTATACATGTTCACAAGCTGTTTTTCTACTGCAAAAGTGATAATGTGTACGTTTTTCTTACTTTCTAAATAGGATAAAAGTTATAAAAATATATTATTTCCTACTCATATGAGTCAATATTTCTCACACTGTGGGGGAATGAAAACTGGAAAGAAATCAAGATTTCTAGGTCTTACTACTATAAAATCATAGTGTCACTCAGTTCTCTAACAAAAATTAAAATACTAATTTCTTTTAAGTTTCTAAGGTTTCCTTCAAGCTGTAACTTCAGTTTTGAAAATAAAATTACTTGTTGTGATGGCATCAATTTTTTCTTTGTCTTGAATCTTATCCTAATCCATTCTATAAGATATACTTAAATACTTCCGAAGCCACCTCTGCTCTTTATTTATATTAGCTCCTAGACTTACTCTAAAAGCACTGTGTAAATAGTACATAATTGAAGAAATAAACTTTTATATTCTACTTAACATTTTTATTAGGAATAAAAAAGATCATGTTGCATTTTAAAATTTCAGATCTTGGGCTTAATTTGAGAGCTCTTACATAATCTTTAGGGTCTTTAAATCTGAACATAATATTTTAACATATCAAAAGTAGTTAAGGCTGGAGGACCTAAAGTTCAAAGCCAGGCTGGGCAGTTTAGTGAGACAATGTCTCAAAATTAAAAATAAACAGCACCCCCAACCTCCCCCAAAACCCCAAAGCACTGGAGATGGAGGTGTATCCTAGTGCTCCCTGGATTCAGTCTCATTGAACAACAGCAAAAAAAAAAAAAAAAAAACAAA